TGAGCCACCGAGCCCGGCTCTCTTTGCTTTTTAAAAAGGGATTTCAGCCGGAGCCCAGCAGGTTGAAGCTGCAGTGGCCGGGAAAGGCCACTGTACTCCAGTCTGGGTGACAGAGTGAGACTCCAACTCAAAAAATAAATAAATAAATAAAAAGGGATTTCAAAAAGATGTTTTTCAGAGTCTATTTAGAATCAATATTTTGCTAAATATATATATATATATATATATATATATATATATATATATATATATCTCACTTATTTTGAGATTATTAAGAAACTTGTTTTGGGATTTTCTCCCTAAGCAGTCATGACATTGGCAAAAAGAGAGCTTTTTTGTCTTGCATTTCCTTATGTATGTCTTTTGTTTACCTTTGTTTTCCTTACTGTGATGGCTGGAACTTTCAGTACTGTGATGAATAAGAAGAGTAGAAAACATTCAGTAGACTAGGAATAGAGGAAAACTACCTCAACATAATAAATGTCATGTATGAAAAGCCTACAACTAACATCATACTTATTGGTGAAAGCCTGAAAACTTTTTCTCTAAGACTGGGGACAAGACAAGGTTTCCTGTTTTTGCCACTTCTGTTCAACATATTTTTGGAAATCCTAGCCAGAACAATTAGACAAAACTGTTTTTTTGTTATTTTAGACTAATTTAGCATTTCTCATTCTCTTCATTTATTTCTGTGGGTTTTGAGTTTTCATGTGATATCACTTTCTTATGCCAGTATAGTTTTATAGCCCTCCATCTCTTATTATTTTCAAGTACATTACATTTCTCTATGCTATCAGTCCAACAGTATAATTGTGTATATATTTTTGTGTAATTCCCTTTCAAATTATTTAAGAGAAGAAAGGAAAATAAATATGCATTTATATTGTCTCATAATTATACAGTTATTTTCACTGGCTTTGTTTTTTTGTATGTGCTTTTTGACTATAATTTGATGTGACATGCTTTCAACCTGAAAAATATTTTACTGTTTCTTAAGGTGCATTTGCTCATAGTGAATTGTCTTGAGTTTTTGTTATTTTGAATGTCTGTATTTAATCATCACTTTTAAAGATAATTTTGCTGTATATAATTATCTTGGTTGACATTTTTTCCTTTCAGTTTTTTATGTCCTCCCACTATGTCTGGCCTCCATAGTTTCTGAGGAGAAATTAGCTGTTAATCTTTTTGGAGTTCCCTTGTGTATAATGAGTCATTTTTTTCTACTGCTTTCAGTATTTTCTCTTTGTCTTTCAGTGTTTTAATTTGATGTGTCTAGATGTGGATCCCTTTGCTTTTATCTACTACTACAATTTTATCCAGCTTCTTGGATGTGTAGATTAATCTTTTCATCAAATTTTGGAAGTTTTCATTCAGATTATTTTTTTCTCTGTGTTTCCTTTCTTCCTGTCACTCTTATATATTTCTTGGAACACGTAATCATATTCCACATTTATCTAATGCCTGTTTGTTTATTTTTCATTCCTTTTACTCTCTATCCCTTGGATTTGCATAACCTCTAATAATATATCTTCAGGTTTGCTGATTCTTTCCTCAGCTAGCTTAAATCTGTTATGATTGTCTATAGTGAATTTTTCATTTCAGTTATTATGCTTTTCAGTTACACATTTTTCATGTTGTTAATTTTGTACAATTCCTGTCACTTTATTGCTATTGCCCAATTAATAAAACATTGTCATTTTTTCTTTTTAAAAATTATAGCTTACTTTTAAGTTCTGTGAACATATTTATTATAGTATATATGATGACATAATATAATATAATATAAAATGATTTTGTGTGCTAAGTCCAATGTCTGGGACCTCTCAAAGGCAGTTTGTTACCTATCATTTTTGTGTGTGTGTATAGACAAAATTTTCTATTTCTCTGCATGTATTGTAATTTTTTTGTTCAAAAACATTTTTAGTTACGTTTCTAACAACTTTGAAGTATCATTCCTTCACTCCCACCTCCTAAGGATTGTTGTTTGTTTCATTAAACATATAGTAAAGTCTCTTCACATTGTTCTGTTGATTCTCAGAAGGTACAGCCTTGGACATGCACTCTCAAGTTGGGATGACTGTACTTTTAGCAGTGCTCTTTTTGACTCTTTCCCTGACCTCTCTATTAAACTTTTGTGCCTCTGTTGATATCACACCTAACTTTTTAGTGTCTACTAACTGTTAGGTGATTTCTTTGCTTGTTTTGATAGTTCTCTAGGGTGTAAAATGCTAGTCCAAATAAATTTTGATCCTTCTGCAGTGGTTGTTTTTGAGGCCAGTGTTTGAGGTTACTTATAACCTCAGGGGACTCTTCTTAGCTGTCTCTTTCCCTAGTTTCCTTTGTGTACTTCTGCTTGGTTTACAGTTCAGCTTGTTGGTCTCATGGAGCTACTACCCATCTCTGAATTGTTTATCACTAAAACTATACTTTTTTGACAGTACCTTTAGACTTGAACTTCTATATACAGATAGTCCCTGAGTTCTGGTGATTGGATGTACAATTTTTCATTGTTACAGTGGTACAAAAGTGATATGTGTTCAGTAGAAACTGTACTTTGAGTACCCATACAGCCATTCTTTCTGTTTTTAACTTGCAGTACAGAATTTAGTAAATGGCATAAGACATTTAATGCTTTATTATAAAAGGTATTTTGTAGCTGGGCTCGGTGGCTCAGCCTGAAATCCTGCGCCTTTGGGAGGCTCAGGTGAGTGGATTGCCTGAGCCCGCCGGTTCAAGACCCACCTGGGCAACTTGGTGACACATCTCTACAATAAATCAAAAATTAGCTGGGCATGGTAGTGCACGCCTGTAGTTCCAGCTACTTGGAAGGCTGAGGTGGAAGAATCGCTGGAGCCCAGCAGGTTGAGGCTGTGGTGGCTGGGAGCAGCCACTGCACTCCATCCAGTCTGGGTGACAGAGTGAGACTCCAACTCAAAAAAAAAAAGATATTTTGTGTTAGATAATTTTGCCCAACTGTTGATGGATATAAGTGTTCTGAACATGTTTGAAGTAGGATAGGTTAAACTATGATGTTTGGTGAGTTAAGTGTATTAAATGCATTTTCAACTTACAGTATTTTCAAACTACTGTGAGTTTATTGGGATATAACCCCATTGTAAGCTGAGAAGAATCTGTGCAATTTTTACTTGAAAAAGTAACTGTCAAACTATAGTTATTCCGACATGGGCAGAATTTTTCTCAAAATAAAATTTTCACTTTGAGGAAAGAAAGTAACAATTTTTGTTGCCAAGAATAAAATTTGAAGTTTTTAAACAAAAATTAGAAGTTTAGAATCTTATATTGGTCACTATGAGCTTGGCTGCTTTTCAGTAATTTAAGACCTCTCCAATGAGACTGATGGTCATATTGAGCATGATTTTTTTTTATATTGCATAAGGAAATGTGTTGATATTTGGAAGATTTGTATAAATGAGTTAGCCAATAATTTCTTCATGACCAAGGTGTGATATTATAAAATCATGAATGGTTAAGAGATCAATTTAAAATATAAGATGGGCCAATTGATTTATTAAATTTTTAAATATATATATATATTTTTTGGAGATGAGGTCTCTATCATCATGGCTAAAGTACAGTGTTGCGAGAGTAGCTTACTACAGTCTCAAACTCCTAGGCTCAAGCAATCCTCCTGTCTCAGTCTGCCAAGTTGCTAGAATTATAAATGTGAGCCACCACACCCAGCTCAATTTATTTTTTTGGTTTTTGAGTTGGAGTCTCACTCTGTCACCCAGCCAGGAGTACAGTGGCATGCCTAAAGCTCACAGCAGCCTTGACTTCCTAGACTCAGGCAATCCTCCTGTCTCAGTCTGCCAAGTTGCTAGAATTATAAATGTGAGCCACCACACCCAGCTCAATTTATTTTTTTGGTTTTTGAGTTGGAGTCTCACTCTGTCACCCAGCCAGGAGTACAGTGGCATGCCTAAAGCTCACAGCAGCCTTGACTTCCTAGACTCAGGCAATCCTTCCACCTCAGCCTTCCCAGTAGATGGAACTATAGTCGCATGCCACCACACCTAGGTAATTTGGTTGATTTTTTTTTTTTTTTTTTTTTTTTTTTTTTAGTAGACAAGGTTTCACTATGTTGCCTAGGCTGGTCTCAAACTCCTGGGCTCAAGCATTTCTCTCACCTCAGTCTCCCAAAGTGCTAGGATTATACGTGTTAGCCTCTATATCTGGCCTAAATTAATTTTTAATATAATAGAATACTAAAAGTTTTTCTGTAGTAAAAAGAATAATATCTACAGTTCTTTCAAATAGCTATTAAAGTATGCCTCCTCTTGAACTACATGATATAAAAGCCAAATTTTCTTCATTTATTTCTAAATGTTATAGAGGAAAAGCTTTTTCTCTATTCTCTTAGGATCATGGCTGGTGCCCTGTGACTCAAGCTGACAAAAGACAGATTAACAGGAGAAAAGAAGTTTATTCATATGCACATTTATATGCATACAGGAGCTCACAAAGAAATAACTTGCTAAATAGTTAAAGTTGAAGCTTAAATACCTAACTTGGGGATAAGAAAGGGAAAGAAAGGGCTTTTATGGTAAGAACAAATGGGTTTCTTTAGGAAAGACAGGTGGGTTTCTAGAAAAAAATTAAAGATAAAAAAATATGATAGTGTTTGTTTATGTAGGAGTGAGTGTCTTTTCTTCTTCATAGCCATAAAACTTCTCTGGAGAGGAGAATTATGGTAGGTTTACTCTGGGTCTCCTTCCTGAGAATAAACCTTCAAAGAGGCAATTTATGGCAGCCTCATTTGCCAGAAGTTTCTGATTTCAGTCAGATAAGGGAATTATGGAGAAGAGTTTTTTCTTGTATCCATTGAAGCTCAGATGACTTCAGTTTAAAATAATCTTCATACCAACTCTGGGGTTTTGAGTGGGTCCCCAAAAAAGCAATATATCAGATGACTGAATACATAAGCAGATATGAGAATCCAGCTGTCTTCTATTAAGTTAATGAGATTTACAAAAAATGTGAAACAGCGCCATCTACTTTTTTTTGTTTGTGAAAATAGTTGTCTTCCATAGAAATATTATTTATATTAACTGGGTTTATTATTGTAAATGCTAAATGAATTAAGAGATACATATTTTAAAATTGTCAGTTTTAATTTCTAATATGGCAAATATCAATAGGTATAATCCCATATAATCAAAAGGTTTTGGGGGTTCTTAGTATAAAATTTTTACAGTGTAAAGGAGAATCCCTGCCTAAAGGCTAATTTACTGTTTAGTCTACTAAATTAAAACAAAGACACTCTGTTATTTGGATTATTACAACCACTGTCACATTACCTGCTACTTTACAAGGAATGGGCAATTTGACTCCATTTAGAAATCTACAAATGGATTTCTTTAGGAAAGACAAGAAGTTCTCAGGTACTTATGAATGAAAATTGAATGGTTATAGATTACTTGTTCTATGGACAGAGCGTCCATTCTTAGTGAGTAAGTGTGTGAGTAACATAATAAAATGAATTTTCTAATTAAACTTGTCTTTTGGAAATATTTTTTAGTGACATACTCCCAACATATTAACATACTTCATAATTTTGTTCTTTTACTTTATAATTAACTGACTGACTTAAGATCAAGAAACATTCCTTTGAGGCTAAACACTTAATAGCAGTCTCTATTGTATTATACTTAAGAAACCTGTACATCTGTTTCCCTTCAGACTTATAAGGAAATAATATAATTAAAATATTCAAAAATTGCACAAACACATTACTGTAAAGACAAAGAACACAACATTGTCAGCTGACAGTTCACTTGAGAGATCTGGAAATGTTTCATCATCAGCATTTTAGGGATGTTGAGAGTTCACAAGCCAAGTGTACAAAAATGAAACCAGTTTAATTTGGTGGGTAGAGGAGAAGGGGAAAGTTTAAACTGTCTTACTATCTAGCTGTTTTTAAGAAGCTTGATAGAATGGGATCAACTCTTCGTCAAATGAATTTTTAAGTGAACTACTAACTCTTTTGTACTTCTGATTGACTAAAGGATTCAGTCTTCACCATGGTTGGTGCGTGACATGATAACTGAAGAGAGAATAGGTATTTTAAAGGTAAAAGTAAGAGGCCAGGTGTGGTGGCTTATGCCTGTAATCCCAGTACTTTGGGAGGTAAGAAGATTGCTTGAGCTCAGGAATTGGAGACCAGCCTAGGCAACATAGCAAGACCTTGTCTTTACAAAAAATAAAAAAATTAGTCAGGCGTGGTGGTGTACACCCGTAGTACTAGCTACTCCAGAGGCTGAGGTGGAAGTCTCGCCTAAGCACAGTAGGTCGAGGCTATAGTGAGCCATGATCATGCCATTGCACTACAGCCTGGGTGACAGAGTGAGACCCCAACTCAAAAAAAATTAAAAAGGTAAAAAGTAAGGTCTTTTCTTCCTATGATAATAGCTTTTTTACTCATTTGGGTTTAGAGCAAGAATGAGTGGATTTGGGAAAACTAACTTTATTAATTTTTAAAATCAGATTTATGTTTGGAATGTTAACTTTTTTTTTTTAGGTCATGCCATGGAATATTATTGTTTTTGATTGCTAGGAATGCTGTAACAAAGTACCGCATATCAGATGGCTTAAACAACAGAAATATATTTTTTCACAGTCTGAGGGCTGGAAGTTCGAGCTGAAGGTGCCAGCAGGACTGGTTTCTCCTTAGCTTGTAGTTGACTGTCTTCTCTCTGTGCTCACTTGATCTTCCTTTTGTGTGTGTGTCCATGTCCTAATTGCCTCTCATAAGGACACTAGTTGTATTGAATTAGAGTCTACCCTAATTCCTCATTTAAACTTAATTACCTCTTTAATGACCCTGTTCTAAATACAGTTATATTCTGAGGTACTGGAGGTGAGGACTTAAACATGTGAATGTTTGTAGGGAGGTAAGGGGGACACAGTTTAGCCCATAATAATTACATATCAGGGAGATCAACCTAAAGGAAGATAGACCAGATAGGAAGTTATTGAAGAATTTCAGGTGGAAAATGAAGAGAATCTGTACTATGGCATTGACAATAAAAATTGAAATGGGATTTGATTTTAAGAGGAATTAAGGAGGAATAATTTGATACAGAACTTTGTGACTGAATTTGGAAGGACTTGAGAGGAAGGAAGCTAGGGTGACTCCCAGATTTTTCTGCTCCAGGAGAAGTTGGCTTGAGGGAGAAGGTATGAGCTATGCAGTGCCCCTGTTGAGTTTCTAGCACTTTGATAGCCAAACAACCCAGGTAGTGTCATGCTTTCTTTATCCACAGCAGCTCCTTATAACATGGACTACAACTGAGCATGCAGTTTCTCACCTCTGAGTCTCCACTTGAACTGTGTCTTAAGACACTTATTACCATCTTAATTTGACAGAGAATTTCAAACACTTGGGGTTTTTTTTTTAATATTGTTTTTCTGATTACTATTATTTTATTCTTCTTGTCCAATTTTCCAGTATTTAATACCTGGCTATACACATCTAGTATAAAGTAGTCTGTGCTTAGCAAATTCTACTTTGGAGAATGATTTGTCAGTAGGAGTGTTATGATCAGTTATTTGGTTTTTGTATATTTTTATCAAAGCTTGAGACTTCCTGTTTGATTTTTTTGCAGAATGAGAAGACTTTGGGACATTCCATGAGTCATTCTAGCAACATTTCTAAGGTAGAGTACCACTGAAATATGTTATTTATTACCCTTGGGTTTTGTATTTTTATACCTTGTGTGTGTGTGTGTGTGAGTGTGTGTGTGTGTGTGTGTGTGTGTGTGTGTGTGTATATATTTTAAGACACAAAGTTCCTGATACATTTTTATAATCTGCTCTGGGACCAAATGAGGTATGTGGCAATTATACCTTCTAGTAAGGTGATTTTGAGTGTCTGTTGGGAAAAGTGACTTATAGGAGAAAACTTCATTTTCCCCCCAGTAAATTATGCACTTTAAAGCAGAAGAAATATTAGTCACCAAAGTCTGTCACTTCACTTAGGAATGTATTTGACTGAAAGTAATGAAAAGCCAACTAGGGTGACTTAATTATGGATTTATATGTTTCAGATAACAGGATGTCTAGAGGTAGATGGTCTTGGGCTAAGTTGCTCATGGATGTTGCCAGGGACCCAGGCTGTCTTTCTTCTCTGTATCACCTTCCTTAGCACATTTTTGTCACCCTCCTACTTGAGAAATGATCTTTCAATAGGAGCTGGATCTTTGGAACTTTGGTTGTGGTCTTGACAGGAGTTGGAGGAATGATCAAAGATGGAGAGGTCTGGCAGGTGAGAGTATCATTTTCAATAGGAAGGCAAAAGCTTACCTGGAACCCCCACCCAGCTGTCTGACTTCTACTTACATCTCACTGGAAGGCAACTAGGAAAAGGAGGGCTTGAGGAGTGAATCAGCCATCTAACTGTGTAGCAGGAAAAATAGAGAGGTCATGACACCGAGACTATTATAGGAAGTGGCACTTTATTACGCTGGCCATCCCAGCGGGCTTGAGGGTCTAATGCATCCAACTCGAGTGCCCCAGAACAGGAGAAGTGGGGTCTTATACCCTTGTTTAGGTAAGGGAGGGGGTCGAGTTGAGTGATTACATACTTCCTTTGGAATTTTACAAGGTTGTACTCAGCAAAATTAGATTTTTCAAAGAACAAATGGTTTCCAGGAACCTGCAGGATTGTTAACCGTCAACTTCAGAAGGGGAGTTTTAGATAAGACTCTTTTCCATTTCCATGAAATGGCCAGTCTCTGGGCTGTTTGGCCTTTCTTAAAAAAAAAAAAACGTGCCTGGCGGAGTCTTTAAAGTTGCAACTTGCCTTTCAAAAGGAAATACCTTTAACTGCTACCAAATTGCCGTGAGGCCAACTGCTGATCGTGAACCAGCTACATGTTTCTGTGTTTATTCACTCAATCATACAAGAAATATATTTGAGCATTTGCCGAATCCTGCCACAACTGTACCTGCCATGCCTGTGGTGTGATCACTTTTGCCTACCAGCAGCACATCAGCTGCTAGGGTGTGACCCAAGGAGCAAGCAGAGTATCTCCAATGCAGTGAGCTTGTTCCCGTGCAGTGCTTCTCTCTTGGCCTAGACATGAACTCTGGCCAACCTCTTGGCCATACAAATATGGCCTTGTAGGTTCCTTGCTGGTTTGGATCTTCTCCCCATGTATTAATATTTGGCATGTGGCCAAACACAACACATCCTGACAGAAAGATTTGAACAAGTGGCAAAACCCATCCTGCTATCTCAATCCTCCTAGATAGATACTCTGAAATATAAGCAGTTACATTTTATACCATTTTAATTTACTGTCTACACATATATTTTCATTCATGTCATCTTATTTTTTTAAACTAAAAGTAAAATCTGGCAAATCCTCTAAGACATTAATTGATCTGTACTAAGGCATATCTGTAATCGAATCATATGATTATTCCATTCAATGTTGCATGAAAAGAAAAATATAAATGCCTTTCATGAATACTTACCTCCATTTCTTTTATTTTGCTGTCCCTTCAGCCAGGAATGTTGTTGGAGCTCTAGAACCATGCAGTGGTAGATTATTACTGTCTCCATAAAGTGTTCAGCTTTGCCCTACCACCTTTCAAAGGAACTAGTCAGCATTTAAGCATCAAGAAAAGTGAGAAGGTGCAGAAGCAGATTGCCTGTTTGGTTAAGTTGAATTAAATGTGTTAAAAACATTTAGTAGCACTTGTTGCCTTGTCCCAGTTGCTAAGGGCAGTGAAAGAGGGCATCATCCTAAATATGCCTTAAATATGTATCTGTCTGTTTATGGGTTTTATTTGAGTTTATTTGAAGCAAAATTTCTCCCTAGTTAAAAAAAGTAGTTTTCAAAACAGTAGCATAAAATGTCTAGAGGAAAGGTTATGGGCTTGGCCTGGAGTTTGGGAATTCTGAATTGCTTTGTAAGGGTTTTGGGGTTACTAGCTATGTGATGTTGAGGAAGGGTACTTCTCTGAGCTTTAATTTTCTGATGAGTAAAATGAGGGCAATAATACAACCTTCAGATTTGTTGTGAGCCTCAGAGTTAATGTTTGCATGAAACTACGGAGCAGCTCCCTCATTACACTGAGCCAATTATCCTGACTCTTTTCAAATATTGGTAATTGTGTTGACTGGGCCAGGGCAGTTCTTAAGGGTAGCTTTATTATTTAGTGCTGATTAAGTGCAGAACCATATACTTTTTTCTTTCTTCTTGTACACACTTTTGTTGTGTGGATACTTATTGTGTCCAGTGAGTTTCTGGTCCTTTACTAAGGTCATAGGAGAATCTATCAGAAGTAATTGCGCACATAACTTCCTCACAAACCCATCAGCATGAAATTTTGTTGCAAAGTGTACCCCTCCATAGCAAAGAAACTTAGTATGCTAGATACAGTTGTTCAGTGTGAACCAATTCAATGGGACTAGGGAGGATAGTCAGGACCCCTGTAGAAGATAACTGTTTTTGAGAATGTAGTTTTTATTAAATGTACCTGCTGTTTGAAGCCACGACACATAACACCATATTCTCAGTGTAGCAGAGATATTTAAGTAGATACTTCATATCCTTGAAATAAAAGGTACAAAGAAAGGAAGTCAGAATGTGGTCTTGCTTTATGCTACCCCAAATCCCCATTGTCTCTATCAGCAGACATTTTCTCCAGCTGGGGTCAGCACTGCTGGGGTCAGCATGTTGGTCAGTCCCCTGTAGTCTGCTTTATGTTTCTGTAGCTTACCTCTTGCTGGCATGAAGTTAGAGGTTGAGAAGAAGTAAAAGTATACCTTTAATCTGCCTCTTTGTATTCCATCTAGATTTTCTAACAAAATAATTTACTGTTTCAGTGTTTGTCAGAAATTCCCCATATTCCATATTGACTTCAAAAAATCAGGCTCCACTTTTAGAGAAGGAAGAAGATAGGATGGGTGGTATGTACAAGAGGCTGCTGGGTCTGTGGTGACTTGCTAGTCTTTAAAATGGGCAGCTGGATTGATCCCCTTAGAGAGAAATAAAAGAATAGTAATATAAGAAGCATATAGGGATATTTAAGAAATTCTAATAGCAAAGTCTTCACCCAGTACTTATTTTGTATTAATAGCATGTTAATGGCTATCCTTTGTTGAATGTCACAAGGGCATGATTTCTTTTTTTTAAAATCCATTTTTACTTATTTATTTTTATTATAAAGATGTGGGGTACAATTCAGGGTTATGTATACAAACATTGATTATGCAGGTACCCTTGTTGATGAGGTATGCCCCTCCCTCCCCTAGCAATTTCCCTCCCTCAACTGCCAATACCACCCCCCACCTCTGATGGTTTACCATTACTGCCAAATGCTTTCTTATAGTATTATAATTGTTCAAGGTCCGCTTATGAGTGAGAACATATGGTACTCTGTTCTTTGTTTCTGTGATAGATCACTGAGTATGATCGACTCCAAATCCATCCAAGTTGCTGCAAAGTCCATAGATTTGTCCTTCTTTATGGCTACATAATATTCCATTGTGTATATGTACCACATTTTCTTTATCCAGTCCAGCTTTGATGGGCAACATGACTGGTTCCATGTTTTTGCTGTTGTGAATAGAGCTGCAACAAACATACATGTGCAGGTATCTTTTTTGTAGATGATTTGAGTTCCTCAGGTATATTCCCAA